TAAAATTTTAAATATTTTTTAAAATTAAATAAATAAAAATAATCTATAAAATAAATAAAACTATTTATAATTAAATTATCAAAAAATATTTATATTTTTTTTATGATTATAATTTTATTATTTTCTATAAAAAAAAGTGAATACATGTGTGTGTTTTGACTTGTATATATATACCCAATTCCTTCTTGTTTTTATAATTAAAAAATCAATTTAAGTAAAAAACGTAAATTGATGTGGTTATTTGTTTTTATGTAGAAGGGACCTAAAGAAAACCAAGTGAATAATTCTGAAGATAAAAGAAATAAACTATAAACTTCAATAGATACTTTTTTAAGGAAATGAAAGAGGTATTATATATTGTATTGTTTTCTTTTAATTATTCTTTATGATACTATTAATTATTAATAATAACAAATATTTATTTATTTGTTTTTGAATCCCACACATCGAAAACCTTGCTTTTGCAACGGTCAAGAGCTTCTTCAACTCCCTTTGAGTTGCTGAAACTCTCAACACTTTCATTCACCAATGGCGACCAAAGATTCTCCTATGGAACTGTACGAAATCTCTACGGAATCCGATGGATCCGACTCCGATTCCGACTGGGAGGACTCGGGAGAAGACCCCGACTACGACGCGCTTGAAGAAAGTCATAGCAAATTCTCAAACCTCTCACTTAAGCACAAGGCAAAAGCGCGGTAAAATCATGAACCGATTGCACTCCATTGTTTAAAATTGAACTTTTAAGCTTTATTTGGTCGTAGCTTGGTGTATCAGCTTTATCGAGGAGAAGGGTCGAGGTGAGGAAGTGTTGGTGGTCACTGCATCTGTAAATGATGGAGAGAATTTTGGGAAAGTTCAAAAGTTAATCGAAGGTTAATCCTTTTTTCTTTTCTTTTTTTTCATTTTGGGTTTTACTATGAAGATTTTAACAATCGTTAGCTACTCTTTTCAAATCTTTCTTTTAAACCCTTCGTGTTCTTATGTAGAAGTGGAAATGGAAATAAACATGATGCGTGTTTTTTGCAGTGTTTACGTTTTTCTATTGAACATTTTCATTTGTCATTTGTTTTGGCTGGCAGAGGGATTGTTGGAGAAATTGAAAGTGGATGAATGCAAGTTGTATTTGAGGAAGAATGGTCTGAGGCTAACTGGAAACAAGGACACACTTATAGAACGCATAAGGGAGCACTTGGAGTAATTGACGTTTTCTGTGAAACACTTCAACCAGCAGTTTTTCAAAAAAAAAAGAAAAAAAGTTGTATGAATTCTTTAATTGTATGATTTTCAGGATTTTAAATGGTGGGGAGAAGAAGTATCCGTCTTCTAGCTTTGTGTTTAATTGTAAAGGTGGGTTCTTGTGATTTTTTAAATATGCTGTTTTAATGAAGCATTTCCAAAAGCTATGAGATTACTTGTTCGGATCAACATAATATGTAAACTGATTCATCGTGTTCCTCATAAGTTTGAAAGGATTATTGTGATAATTCGAACCACAAGAATATTTGGAGTTCAGTTGTTTTTTTTTCCAACATTTTGTTTCTAAGACAAAGTTTTAATTAAGTACTCTGTTTTTGAAATCTAATAATATTAAGCATTCACCTGTATCCCTATTGCTAATATATTAAATATATTTCTTGTTTGTATCATTTACTTTCCTGATTTCTATATCTATTTAACAGTTTCTGCAGTTAGGTACATCCTCTAGATATGCGATCATCGTCTTTTAGTTTATGTGGCCTCAAACTCTGTTGGTCTAATTTTATTTTATCATCCATATGCTTCAGAACCTGAAAATACTTTGGCTTGTGCAGGTGATGCATGCACTGGTGATGTAGTTTTGTTTGAGCAAAATGTCTATGAAATGTAAGCTGCTTTTTTATATATTTTTTTCTATCTCAATTCATTTTAAATGGAAAAGACCTTACATGCTATATTTTATACACTGAAACATTTTGGAGGGCGTACATATATGCATAAAGATTGACAAACACAGTATTTTTATGCTTACTGCTACTAATATACATGTCATTGGATATACTGTTCAGAGATGACAGATTAATGATATTGGTGAAGTTCAATTCTAAATTACTGCCATCTTCCAGTTTCTTTATAAGATTTGGTTTTCTCAGGTTTAACATCGCATCCAGAAGTGCTAGTGGTCCACCTTGTGGCAAAAGGATTGTTGCAGGCCGCATAGTGAAAGAAAGCTATGGTGCTGCCAAACAACAGCATACATTTACGGTGAGAATAAATTTAGATAGTTTTCTTTGATGGATACTAACATTACGGCAAAGTATGTTTCTCTTACACAAGGGTACTGGTCACTGGTCTATCAGACTACAGAAAATTTATGGTTTCCTTTTCTTGGAGTATATTTTTAAATACCAATGAAGATGCATATTATCTCTCCTTGGATAGCAGGATAGTTTAAGCTGCTATCATTATGATTTTCCAGTAACAATATGCTTTGTACTTATCCTATTCATAAATAGATTGAAGTGCTCTGGAGTAAAGGAGAAAAGCCTCTCCCTCCCCTTTACCCCCTACTGATTAAGGGTCGAAACCTTTACAGGCTGAAGACTTTGAGACAGGTTCCTCATTTGCTACCATCTCCTCATTTCCCTTTGAGAAAGGTTCCTTAAATGATTAATATGTTCTGTGTCCCTAATATTAGAAATGGGAAGATGAAGCAGAAAGGCAAAAAATATTGATGGAAAAACACTCAAGGGGATCTCTTGCTAGGGCAGATAGAGAAGAAAGGATTCAAGAAAAGGAGAAGAGGAAACATACCAAGGAAAATAGGTACTTCATTTCAGATTTAAAGTATTTTGTCTTCTACACTGCCACTGTTAAGTGTACTAACTACTTATGATTACAAAATAATTTAATGTACTTTCTGCGTTATATGTTTAGGGTCTCCAAAAAGGAAGCAAGGAACCAACGTCAATCAAATTCACACGTTACAAGGCCACAATATCAACCTCAAGGAACAAATGTAGTCATTAATCCAGAAAACCCTGAATTTCCATCTCGAAATTCAGTTTTATCTGTCAATATGATGAAAGAAAGATACTGTATTTTAAATAATTCAGCAGCAACTTTTGGAGGAACATCATTTGCTGTTCACAGTATGCATAGAAATCACACAAGTGACTTTAGGAATACTTTTGATATTGGTCGTGTGCGAGGAGCAGAAACTGGTGCAAACTATTATGCAGACCCCCATTTCAGAGAAAACCTCCCTAGATTTGTGAACTGCCACCCTAACATGGCTGAAATGGGCACTCATCATAGAATACCTTTGGCAAATGCAAACCATTCTCACCCATTTATGGCCCCCAATAGAGAAAGCTTTAAGATAAATCAAGTGTGCAGACATTATTCCCGTGGAAGGTGCTATTTTGGGGACAAATGCAAATTCTTACATGATCTTAGAGACAAAGGGAATGCATGAATTAAAGAAAAATTATGGGGGCATGATTTCATATATTGTGCCATTCAAATGTTTCTGGGTTTTTTAACTGGAAAATAGAACAAATTGTGTCTGTCGTTACAAGATTTTGTGGTGTGTTTCCCTCTTGTTTCTTTTCACTTCAGTCTTGTTAAATATTTTTCTAAGGCTTAAGCTTTTCCTCTTGTTTCTTTATTATCTATAGTCACATTCTACAAAATAAATATTAGGTACTCTGGTACGTAATAACGGTATAAATTTGATATTTTTTTACTATTCCCAATTTTTTATTTAATTTAATAATGTTAAACTTATTTTATTATATTTCAACAAAAATTCATATCAATTTCAATTTTCTAAAATTAAAATGGTTATTAAAGAGTTAAAACATTGATAAAAAAAACTTTCAGCACAGCTACTCCACATTAATAAATAAATTATAATATATATATATATATATATATATATATATATAATGTATAATATTTTTTTAAGTTCTGGATTACATGTAATTCTTATTTATGAAATGCATAATCTGAAAAACTTCCGAACAAGACAGAAAATTTCCACATCACGTTATATGAAAAAAAAGGGATAAAATGACTATTTAAAATTTATGGAACTCAAAAAGAATTTTTTTTTCTAACACGTAGTGATGAACTATATATACGATTTGATTCAATTAATCCAGTAAAATAGTATTAGGTCAAAAGGTTCCAGATTCTAAAGTAAAATGAAAAGTTAAACTTTGGCTATCTACCTCCACAATTATTAACTGCACTCCTACAATACTATAAAAGAACTAAAACAACCTTCATACTTATACCACATCATGCCACCATTTTTGCTTCTTTCACCACATTACTGACGCAACAAAAGAATAAGAGGAAAACAAAAGAATTGATTCCGAATTATTTTTTTTCAGAACGTATTGCGAAAAACTTTTTTCAGAAACATATTTCATATATGAATATTCTCAAAAATTCATTCTAAAAGGTATTTTTTGAGTTTCGATTTTCTGAAGCACATTTCATACATTCTAAAAATTCTGTTCCGAAAATTATATTCTAGAAATTTCGTTTGAAAAGTTCTATTTCGAAAATTGTTCCAAAATTATTGTTCTGAAATTTTTGAGAAGTCTGTTTCGAAAAACTTCCTAAATATGGAATCCGAAAGTAACTTTTCAAGATAGTAAAATGGACATTTCAAAAGTCTGAGGAATGCGGAAAGAAATTATGAGGATGCATTAAAGCCTAAAATTTTACAAAAATCTAAGGGTACACTTGTATCCCCCAATATTAAAAATACAAAATTCATTACTATTTACTAGTTTTTGTTTCATATATTTGGAAATTTTAGTGTATATTTACATTAAGTTATTGTGATTGTGATTAATAATGATTACGTTAGCTTCGAATACAAGCTTTTGCTATTGATGTACTTTCAAAAAACATAACTTGTTACTATGCTTGATAAAATAGCTAAAGAATAATCCTACCAAAACTATAAAAATAGAATAAAATAGCTAATATAATACAAGCTAATATTGGCCTAAATATCGTTAAAACTTTAACTGATGTGTCCAATGGGTGCAAAAAAGAACAATAAACTATTTACAACAGACACAAGACATGTGATCCCCCTATAGTTACAAAGCATAAGCATATTTATTCAATATGCTTTATGTTTATTAATAAGTAAATAATTATCAATTTCCGGCATACTTTAATGCACAAATATTCAACATCATGTGCTTGGTTCCAAGGTTTCAACAACCTAGGTTGGAGGGGCAGTGTAACTTCATTGTGCATTACTGACAGAATTACTCTTGTTAACACCTTGCATATCCATGGGGGAGTTTGTTATACTACTAACAGAGCCGAGGGTCTGAGAGCTCAACTGTGGACTGGCAGGACAAGCTTCGGGATTACCGGCACTTATGGCATGAATTGCACCTGAGCTTATTTGGGGACTCATCGGAGTTCGTTGACTGATTTGCTGAGGGCTTGCTTGCTGATGTGTTTGTTGGTTCAACTGTGGAACTCCCATTGATGGAGATCCCACCTGTGGGGGAGAAACAACTGCCTGCAATTGTGAACTTGTTTCTTGCTGCTGCTGCTGCTGCTGCAACTGTTGTTGTAGTTGTAACTGCTGTTGTTGGGGTTGTTGATGTTGCTGCTGCTGATTCATATAAAGATTCATCCCGGCCATCATCTTTGGTGGACCCATCGGCCGTTGCATTGCATTAGTCCTACCCATTATTGAAAGACCAGCAGGACCAGGGTGCATTTGTCTGGCACCAGAGATGCCAGCTAAGTTTGACTGAGGGGAACCCATCATACTTCGAGTCGGTACCAATCTAAGCTTGGATAAAATCTCAGCAGATGTGGAATTTAGCGATCCAGACCTGAATTGTTGGCTTATGGAATTAGTAATGTTTGAAGTCTGGCTAAGATTCATTGGGTTCTGACCCATATTTCCCATGCCCGCTATAGATGTCATTGGAGCTGAGATTCCACTTCCTCCTATTCCTCCCCTTGCACCTCCCATCCCCATAGGATTGCCCATGGGTGCAAGCCCAACTAGGTTGTTTCTCAAGTTACCCATTCCCACATTGGTTCCAAGTCCCACCATTTTCCTTTGCATTTGTGGCTGCTGCTGCTGCTGCTGTTGCTGCTGTTGTTGGTACATCTGAATCTGGAGAGCTGAAGACTTGTTGAGCATGTGATTACCTAACGGCATGTTGGAGTTCTGTCCGACTGGATTTAAGTGTGAAAGCTGATTTGTCCCAAGCATCATAGAAGATCTCTGGAACTGGGAATTCTGCTGTTGAATGAGTGTGTGTTGATTTTGTTGCATCTGCTGCTGCTGATGCTGTACAGTTTGTTGTGAGTCCAGTTGCTGCGGTCTTGAAGACATTGAAACACCAGAGAGAAGTCCTTGAGAAATCTGTAAGGCTTGGGGGTTTCCAGGTGGCAACATCCTTGAGTTTGTTACAAGATTCTGGGATAGGTTTATGGATGCATTATTTCCAGAAACTGGTTTGGCAATTTCATTAGATGACTGGCCAGGAACGGATTCTCCATATTGTTGCATTTCAACTACAACATTATTAGGAGCAGTAGATTGATTGCCCGATGGAAGGTTAACAAGGTTTGGTTTAAGTTGGATCCGGTCATCTTCCTTCACATATCCTTCACGTATCATCTACAATAGGAAGATTAAAATATTCAGAAAACCAATTGACGAATGTATGTTTTATATAGAGTGACATACCTGTGAACAGAACTGTTGAGCAAGCAAATCCGCAGAATGCTGATTCACAAAAAAGGTTACATAAATCAGAGGATAAACTTGTAGAAAACCCCTTATATAAATCAGAGGAATAAACTTGTAGAAAACCCCTTATATAAATCAGAGGAATAAACTTGTAGAAAACCCCTTATATAAATCAGAGGAATAAACTTACAGAAAATCCCATACATAAATCAAATGCTTGCTCTACTTTAACAGTTCTGTTAGAATCTTGTAAACATAGTAATGGTGGATACTTAAATTAATTTGATTGATTATATATTTAATTTATTAGCCTAAAATAAGATCACTAAATACTTTATAATTATATTTTTCACCTATAGATTGTGGTCTAAATACACGAAATTTATCCTGTGCTCTCATGTTTCTCTCTCTCTCTCTCTTAACAAGTTCATTAAGAAATTAACAAATTCATGTCAACGACCAATGAACTGTTAACTTAATGTTCAGAGTTAACACATTATCGGTAAAAACTATCCTCCCAAAATGACAATGGAGAAGTACAATCCAAGTTAATATATAATTTGGAAGCAAGATAAACCGTGCAAGTATGAAAGGAAGTAATATATGACAAAAAATTATGACAATATGCCCCTTTTGTACATGGAATAGAATGAAAGGAAATAGCAATGGGAAGAAATCAACAAAAAATTGGATTTCCCCAAAAGGTCTCAAATGCGTAAGGTTTGACTAGATGAAGAAAGAGCATATAAGATAAAAAAAAAATAGGTAGGAAATGAATATTTGGATTGAAAGGCTTCAAAAAGGTTAAAATGAACAATAGATTAAAATATGAAATAATTTAAGCAGAACATACACATCTAACTTCATCCTTAGTGTTTGTGTTAGGAAAAAGGATCGAGCTTAACTAAACCTCAAAACCCATCTTCAGGTAAGGGTTGTCCCTCAATTATATTTTCTTCACACAATCTATCATACTCAATTTGGCACTTAGATTTTTTTTTTCGATATACCCAACACTGTTGGACTTTTTGATGTTATAAAAAGATGGCAGGTCACCCCTTTTAATGAATCTAGGATAGGCTTTAACATAGTCTTGCAATGTAAATTTGACTTATCTCAATCTCATAAAACTACTTTTAAGGATTATATATATATATATATATATATATATATATGTGTGTGTGTGTGTGTGTGTGTGTGTGTGTGTGTGTGTGTGCCTACAGTGGAACTTACAGTATTTGGTAAAGTGAGGAGATAATCCTCTGCAGCTAGGTAATCAGCGTCTTCAACATCCCCGTAATACAGAGCCACAGTACCATCAGATTTCTCAAATATTATCATCCTAGTTCGCAACCTTGGAACTAGAGAAACATGATTTCCTGTATAAAAATGGAATGTCAAATAAGGAAGAAAAAATATATATTTCCAAGAAGGTAGATAAATTGATACAAACCTTGAACTACACGCTCAGGCACACATAAAGTTATTATTCTCATTTTACACGCATTCATACTCCCACCTATAAGTGACTTTGACAAAGAAATTGAATCATCTATCACTCCCTCATTATTAGTTGAATTGGCAATATGTGGTGCTATATGTGTTGTTACATATGCATTTTGCTTCTTCATCTGAAAATCCTCGACCCTGTTCTTCTTAAAGTTAAGTTGATGCCTGAAGAAGTCCGCACCATAATTGTAAGAACACAACACGAAACATGACATCAACATTTGTTTCAAATAAAGAGCAAAGGCTAATCCATTAAAATAAATCAGATTATTAGAGAAAATAAAAACTAAGATAACAGATTAAATATTGGTCGAAGCTACGCAATCACAGAATATTTGCATTATTTTTCTAAGAATAAATATGTGGAATATAAAAGACATCGGGATGCAGTTTAAAATTCAAAACAGAATACCTCATTGTCACCATTTCAATTTTAGAGAATCGTTCAAGCATATTTTGAAGGCCTTGATCAACCAAACTCGATGTCACAACTGAGGGGCTATTTGCATTCAGTGGGACACTGGTTGTACCAACACTAGCAGGAGAGCCAACTCCATTCATGGCTGGAGTCTTAGGAAGGGAATTAGATTTTCGTTTTGCAGCTAGTTGTGCCTGTTGCTGCTGTCTTTGTGTGGAATCACTAGATGGAGTTCCAACAGTAGTAGGAACAGAGACCATTGCAGTCTTGTCTTTCTGTACTGTTCCCACAGCAGCCATTGAAGATGGTCCAAAACTTGGTCCCATTGCACTATTGGAAAATTCACCTGATTTTGAAGATAATGGGGAGTGAGCTAACGCCCCAGTCGATAAACGAGGACTCTGAACTGATTTCCTTTTCTGATGCTGATCATCTTTTTTTGTGTCTTTCTCTATATGCTGACCCAGGTTCCAGGCTGCCTGCGGAAAATTGGGTCTCATGAATGCATGCTGTGGCAATCGTTGCTGAAGCCGTAACTGTTGTGGATCTAATATGTTTGTTTCTATTTCAATCTCACTCCTATTGCGGTTTGTCTCTGCACTATCTACTTTGTCAATTTCAAACTGTTCTTCCTTTGCAACCAATCTCATGCCCTGCTGACCAGAAGTAAAGGAAACTGGCACCATCTCTTGGTTCATCCCCCCTTCAAAAACTTGCTGAGGAAACTTTTGAATGCCACCACTTCCATACTGAATACCTCTGGCCAAAGCTTGTTGTTGCAATGTATTCTGCCAATTCATATCTGTTCCTTGAAGAGATTCAACATGTGAACCTATTTGCTGATGCTGCATTGCTTCAACAACAGCAGCCGTAGGCCTCATTCTTTTTGCAATATTGGGTAAAGGTGACGCTTGTCCATCTTGATCCCTTTTACCATGAAGAGAAGCACTTGAGTTTGCATGATCGGCATATGAAATCATGACATCTTGTGCAGAAGGAGAAGCCCCGGATGAATTAATAGAAGGAACTGGTCCCTGCTCCTGCAAACTTCTTGTAGTTCCAACTGCCATTGCATATCTTTGTTGATGGGACATCATCGGAAAGTTAGGGATGGAAGAATCAGGTATAAAATTCTTAGGTCTCAAGGCCATGGCAATATTCGGAGTAAGATTTTGCATGGATGGATTTTCATGGGTCTGCTGTACAATAGCATTGGAAGATGTGTTTCCCAAATCGCCTAACCTGCTAATTGAAGCTTCTTGCACTCTATCTATGCATACTTTCTTCCCATGAATTTTATTGGTAGAAGTAACAGCAAACTCTGGCATATTCCTTAATCGCTTTCTTGGCAAATTGAGCTGTAACATTAACTTCAGGACTATTAAGATGCCCATAACACTGAACTACATTCATAAAGGGGCAAAAATAACTTCAGAATACCTTTGCAGGAAGTGGACTTTCACACAGCCGATCTAACTTTGGAATAGGGTCTAGATGAAGTCTTGGTTGTAATGATTTCAGTATCTTTGATTCAACTTCCTATCATCAATGTGAACACAGCTAAGTGAGATCAATGAAAAAATTATAGGAATTGGTCATCATGAATGATGAATCATACTTACCATCAGATCACCATATGTCCAAGACTTGTCAGTAATTGATGGAATGTCCTTAACAATATTTTCTAGGGACATCTTGAGGCATACTTTGCTAACAGTAGGAGAACCTTCTGCAGACACACTACTCCCTTTTTCAAAAGAGCATCTTCGATAATCATGCACCTGGAGAGTGACAGGATAGATTTAAAGATCAATCTTATAAAAAAAATGAGCATCATCAAAATTTATATTATATAGCAATTGAAAAATGCGAAGAAACAACTAGTGAAGTGGGAAAAAATTGTAAAACTACATATTGGAACACATAAGAAGCTCTTTATATTGTCTATAATCAATATAAAGAAAAGTATAAGACATGATATCCATATGAACAACAGAACCAATTAACCAAACTAAAGTACAGAAGAAAACTCATGTCCCTTTAATAAATTTGCATAAGTAAAATAAACTCTAAATGTTAACTTTGAAAGCAAAGCATCTAAAAAATAAAAAGGCTTACCTCACATATTAGTGCTCCATCTAGATATTTGGCAGGTATATCATCAAGAATATCCCCAGGTAAGTGACCTGACTCGATGGCCTGCAAATACATCATTATATATATATAAATATAAAAAGGAATGTATGTACAAGAAATTCTCAACATAAACATACAACTGAAATTGATAACAAAATTACAAAAAACATAATCTGTTGGATAAGCCACAGAATGTGAAGCTACACAAGGAAAGGTCTCAGACAACAGCAAAAGTCTGGTTCTACTTCTATTTCCAGTCAGAGTTATTAATATCACGTAAGCAGCACCAGGAAGTAACAAAGACTCCATCGTGTTTTTGCTGCTGGAGCTGAATAGAAGCCCAAATTGCAGGTTTGTAATGCATGATAGAGGTGTAAGGTTTATGGGTAACAAAACCCAATTTGGTCCCTGTTGCAGTATCTTCTTTGGGCTTTTTTAGAGTAAAAATGACATCGAGCCTTGGTTAGGCCCAAAAGAAAAATCCCAAATCCCCTATCATTTCCACAGAAAAAACAAAAATTCATCAGTTCTCCCTTTCTCTTCTCAACCAAACATGCCTTCTATCAGCTCAACCATGCTGGAGACCACCAAATCCCCGTGGCTTTTGCTCTTTGTAATTTACTTGGACGTTTTGCTTAATAAATGCAAGATTTTTTACCAATAATTATAAATGAGCTGATTTCAGAGTACTTTATCTGCATTATACATGTAATTATGTGTATAGTATATGTCAAACTCTAAGGAAGAGAGAAACATTGAACTGAAACCGTGTGTTTTGGACACAGCATGGGTGCTTTATTTATATTGAGAAAATGAATCAATCAATAAATAGAAGAGATTTTATATCCTCTAATAAGAAAGATGTAGTAAAGAAATAAATAAAAATGTTTCTAATAATACATATATAATATAGATATTCCTGATTACACAGGATCAGCTCCTAATTTTGTTTCTATAATGATAACAGTATAGATTATGTATAAGAAATATTTCAAATAGCAGTCATCTTTGTGCTATCCCATTATAGTGTTTTTGGGGTCAGCCAATATCAAGATTGATAATGATGCTTTCCATATTTAGGTGCCGAGTAAAGAAGGTGAAGACAGTCAAACAAATATCAAATCCGGTGCCACTAAACTCAAATTATGAAACTCAATTATGATGCCATTAAAAATTGATTGAATCAAGCCAAGAATCTTAAAGTCTAGCATGAGAATTTTGATACAAGCATACAGTGATGCATATTTTAAATAAATACAGAGTGGTGAATGCCCCACTCAGTGATTGGAAATGCTTACTATACATATGCTGAAAGTGTTGATTGTCACACTCAATGATTGTCAGCATTAGAATTTAAAATTTAAAACTGAAAGAATAAGAAATTACATGGTTCCGAGATAATTACCAAGAAAAGACTTTCAGATGACCTATCATAGGGATGTAACAACTTTGGAAAATCTTGATATTTTGTTTGATTTGCTGCATCATTCTGAAAATTCTCAAAGTAGTTAACATCATAAGAATGCATACAAGGTCAAATTCCACGATTCTATCACATTGTTGTCATTCCTTAAATTATAGCAAAATATTAATTGTTGTTTTAAACAAACCTCAGAAGGTTTCCCAATAGAATAACCATCTGCAAACAGGTTCAATGTGAAAGAAGCTTCCCTCTCTGTCAAAACAAGTAACTAAGTAAACACCACAACACTCAGGATTTATAAAAAAGTGAGCTATATACTTGATGGCTGACCTGCTAATGAAAGAGTTTCAGATGAAGATGACTGTGGAATCTGAGCAATCTTTTCCCCAGCCTCAACAAGACCACTCTGTATAAATATAGTTAAGGAAATCAAGAAAACAAAGTTTTAACAAATTCCATTGTTTAAATTGATTTTTAAACTAAACTTATAAGTCAAACTACAGATTCTAGGTCAGGAAATTGCAACATAATCCAGGGTTATACATCCTTTAAAAGAATAGAAAAATCTACCAATTCAGTGAAAAAATTAAATCCAGAAAACTCAACATTTTCAAATTTCACATATTATTAGCCTAGCTCCCTTAGATGCAATCCCCAAAGCTGGAAATCAGAAGAATAGTCACGTATTAGTTGTATGGTTGTGTGGCATTAACCAATCCAATCAAATGATGCAACTTATTTACTTTTCTACATTGTATCCGTACAGTGGCGATAAAACAGAAGAAATTAGTTTGTTAGTAGACAATGATTTTCACATCTAACCTCCTCCCCATAAATTCCCTAGCGCAACTACATCTTCATTACTTTTGGGAGTAATAATATCAGTGAAACGAAAAATAACACTGGATGAAACTTCAATAAACTTTGATAATAAATAAATGTTGTTTTTCTATTTTCTTCCATAGGTATTATCATCCGGCCCAAATTTGTTTGAATTATTGGTTTGGAACAAAAAAAAATCAGTTGAGTTAGGCACATTTAATGTAGTTAAACACCTGCCGAAGGGGAATTCAAACCTCAGTTCCACAGTGTGGAACTACTCTTCAATTTTACTTGTAGATTACAACAACACCCAAAAAAGATTAAGAAAACATGTCGAACAGCAAACAAATTTGTGAATTAATCGAGAGACCCCGAACTCAATTTATGATTGTTTGAGGAATATCGAATCGAATTACGGTTGCGTATTGGTGATCTTACCTGGGACTTGGAATTGTCCGATGCGGCTTCGTGCGGTTGGGGAATTGACTTGGGGCGAAACCTAGTGCCGGTCTTGGAGACCTTGAAGGAGACCCCCATGCTGTGGGAGCACAATTTTGATGGGAATAGTAAAGACAGCAAAACCCTAGAAATTAGCCAAAAACAAAAACAACGAAGGAGAGAGAGAGAGTCGAAAGTGCTGTGTTGAGTTGAGTTAAAAGGCTTCAACTCAACACAACATATGTAGATATAGAAATAGAGAGAGAGACGAGCAGTGTCGCACACAACATCAAATGTTCCTTCGATTCCAATTGTGTTGAGTTTGTAAGTTTGTCCCTTCCGCCATAAACATTGGCCTAAAAAAATATATTACTATTTTATCTAAAACAAATATTAATATTTTTTATGATTTTTTTTCTCTCAAAATAATCTCTTTTTTAAAAGAAAAAAATATTTGAATATATTTTTTAGAATATTATCTTATCAATTAGACCCATGGATATATTATTTTTCCAAATGAAGCTATCTTATTTTTTATATTTTTTTACTACTTTTTATTTTTCTAAATATAGAGAAAAAAAATTAAAATTAAAATAATGGAAAAGTAATTTAAAATAATTAATTAAAAACATTGAATTTAAATTCTCATTATTTTAAGAGAAAGAATAAAATAAAAATACTTTATAATTTTTTTAAATATAATTTGATATTAAATTTGGTATTATTATTTTGGGTTAAATATGTTTTTAGTCCCTAAACTATCAAGCGATTTTGGTTTTAGTCCCTACTCAAAACATTGATGGCATTTAGTCCTTGTAGTATTAAAACATGTAAAAATAGTCCCTAAAAATGGACGGCGTTAACTTTTGGTTGATCTGGCAAACGGTAATGCCACGTCCTCCGCCAGCTTCCCTGTTCTCTATCTGCCACGTTGCTTATATCGTGAAAACCCTATGTTCATCTTCCTCTGAGAGAAATGCCTAACCTAATAAATCCTCCGAGAGACGGAAATTTTTAGATTGAATTCAGGGGAGGCACAATCCACTCAAAATGAACACAACTGAATACAATTATTAAAAACACAAGCCAAATGTACTCGGTTCTAACCAAAAATCAAGCTATAAGCATACATGAAAAATTACTACCCTCCTTATAAAGCAAAACATTAAATCCCTAAATAAGATTATAACTGCATTTCTTTCTCCACGAAAAATTGCCCCAAAATCTTTACTTCATAAACAACAACTTAGAATCCTAAACCAAGATGCAGTTCCCAGGTTTCCTTCTATTTCTCACAGAATAAAAAACAAAACCAAACATTCCACCCAAACAACCAAAAACCGAAAACAGAGCACACATTCATTATTTCTATTTTCGAAACAAAATACCCCAAATCCATGGCAGGTGCAGAGCACATTGAAGGAAGAAACGTGGAGAGAGAAAAGCAAATGTACCGCGTCGAACGATGGTGAAATTAGACGAATTGGAGAAAGAAAGCGAAAATAAAAGGCATGGATTGAAGGAAAATGAGATATGCAAGGTGAGAGGGAAGAAAGGGAAAGTGAAACTTTGAATCGGAGTGTTCTGCTTAGAAAACGCCGCGTGGCAGATAGAGAACAGGAAGCTGGCGGAGGACGTGACATTGCCGTTTGCCAGATCAACCAAAAGTTAACGCCGTCCATTTTTAAGGACTATTTTTACATGTTTTAATACTACGAGGACTAAATGCCATCAATGTTTTGAGTAGGGACTAAAACCAAAATCGCTTAATAGTTAAGGGACTAAAAACATATTTAACCC